TTCCCGAAAATGTTTTGAAAAAAAAAAGACTTTTTAGACGATACATTGTAGAAATGCTTTTGTCAAAATACCTGAATATCATTACGTCGAAGCCCAGTGACATTAAAATACATCCCGGGGTAGGGAGAGGGGTGTTGTGACCTATATACAGGGTTCATACGGATTTTGGAAAGTCTTGGAAAGTTTTGGAAGTCAATAATGAATTTTTCCAGGACCTTCAAAATTGATTTTTAGTATGGAAAAGTCATGGAAACATCGTAGCTTGTCTACGGGCCTTGTAAAGAATTGTTTTTCGCGCCGAAGATTTCTTTGTCAGCACTGTATTTGTGCTACGCGTATCATTGCCTGCTGTAGCGTTTACTGGCAATTTGGTGAGCAAAGTGATCTCGATCATTTGTTCAGATCCATGCTTTTGGCTTTATTTTTACGCTGGATGGTTTTGGAAATTTGAGTTTCTCAAAGTGTTGGAAAAATGAGATGGTGTAGAAAATTAATATTTGAATGGATAGACGAAGCAACAATTCAAAGATTTTATTTGAATTTATCTTTAAAATTTGGTTTCAAATGAAGATATTAAATTATATTTTATAAAATTTAGTGTTTAAACGGATATCATAGGCAAAAAAATAGTATTTGAAATATATAATCGTGGTAATAATAGGTTTGTTTAAATTTATCTTTAAAATTTGGTTTGAATGAAGATACAAATTACCATTTATTAAAATTTATTGAATTATTTCAGGTCATAGAACGATCGACTGCTGGATTCCCCTACAAATCCAATCCCTCACGGTCATATCATCATCCCGCGGGTCGTCCCGCAGTGGTTCGGTGCAATAATGTTCAGCTCAAGTGTAGTTTTAATCGCTATTGTCTGCTTCATCAGCTGTACTTGGTTTTTATGCATCTGGACCAACGAACTACACAAGAAATACCACAAGGAATAAAAGCTACTTCTCACCACAGGAACCCCATTACTAAAGTCATGCATATTGGGACAAAGAATTTCAAGTTTACGCACTTCATAAGCTCATTAAGCGGCGGGTTGAAAGTTCATATAGAAAGAATGCCGGAATTATCTCTGTGATTGACGTTGAAGCCATTAAAATGTTGCTAATGCTTACTTCAGATAAATGCATTTATTTTCAATTCTACTGGTGAAAAATCTATTTCTCCAATTATTTTTCATCAGCATCACTTTTATGAAAAGAATTGTTCTTATTTTCTGATCCACGGGGAAAAAATTAAACTTTTGCCTCTTTTGCAAGCTAATTAGCGGGTTTCAAAATAAGGGTTGAATAAATTGTCTTCGTGATTGACGTTGAAGCCATTAAATAGCATTTTTCACACGTTTACTGAAATTAGATACCGCAAAGCCTTGTGGGATGGAAATGCGGACAAACATTGCCAATAAATGCTTCGATTACAAGAAAAAGAAGAAGAATATCAGTCGTAAAACCATAGTTCTTCCATGAGATAGAAACAAGAAGACTACAAGAATAAAAAAACCGCACTTATTTTGCTGAATGCTGATCAGACAATACCTCGTTTGATATCCAAATATCAAATTAAGAAATAAAAACAGAAAAAGATAAAAGCTTGTAGAGGCTTCAATTAAATTTTCAAATTTTTTTCGCAAGTCAATACATTTTCTGTAACACCAAACCTCTTGATGTTCTGTACGCACAAAATTAACTTGGAATAAACTGATAATCAGTGTTGTAACGATAATAGCAGGCAAAATATACTTTGAATTAAAGAACGTTTCAATTTCTTTTCGTTGGAAAAAATTGCCCATACATTTGGAATATTTGCTCTTTTCGGCCTTTTCCTTTCTTTCCGAGGCAAAAGGTTGTTCTTAAACTGTAAACTTCGTGACAAAACATCCTAAATTACCCGTAAATCTTCTGTTCTTTCTCTAACTACCGTAGTTAGCATGTTTTCTTGACTACGAAACCTAAGAAACCATAAGAGGCGAATGTATAGGCCAACAGATAGTATGAGCTTATAAAATCCGCAAAAATACGGTTCTAAATTTTAACAAATTCCTATAAATTATATATCAAAATGTTCAGGAAAGCCCCGGGTTTTCAATTCCACTTCTGTTTTTTTGACAGGTTCTGTTTTATATGAAGGAGAGATGATTTTCTAGCTTGACACCGGTTATGTCACGCATTTTCTCTTGTAAAATACATCCAATAGCGTACATTCAACTCAAAAAGTACGGTGGTGTTTTTCAATAGAATTCAATCTAAACCATATAATACAGTCCGTGAATAGTTGAATTAACTGAATCCACTTCTGTTTTTTGCCTAGATAGTCATTATTTTGAGAAAAGATCCAAAAACCGTGTTTTTGAGACATAATTTGTATGGGCTCACATGAGGGGGCGTGAGCTTGAAATCGTAGCTGACCAAATGTTAACAGATTTTTTCTGATGTTCTTCTTCTTCTTCTTCTTCTTCTTCTTCTTCTTCTTCTTCTTGCTTCTTTATTAAGTTACTTTAAAGTTGGAACGTCGAAAAATTTGAGTTTCTGTTGACATTTTACTGCGCATCAAAGACGAAATAAAAGGAAAAAAGCATAAAAGTCGAAATACCAAAGATATCACTCATCGCTCACAGCTTTTGTAGTTTATCTTCTGCTTATTCAGAGTGAAATTGTTTTGGCTATACGGGCTTACGCCATGTCCATCAATTCCGCTATATACGCGTCCGATTCGTGTTTAAGGTTTTGGGTTTGTTTCAAATTTAAAAAAGAAAAACCGCTTTCAAAAATAGCCCACATATTCTTGTTCAAAAAGTGAAATAGAAAATGAGGGTACGGTCATCGAATTCATTTTTGCTAAAAATTTGTTGTTTTACTTCCGGGTCAGTTTGCACTTCCTGTCTCCCCAGTTCCTCGCACGGCTTATTACTTCTGAAAGTTAAGCAACCTCGTTCCCAGAGCCTTCTCTTCTCGCTTTTTTTTTTCAAGAAAGCGGCCATCTCCAAAAAAAAAGAAAGCGAGAAGAAAAGGTCCTGGGAACGAGGTTGAAAGTGAAGCAGCTACGATATGCAAATCAGTGTTTTTGCTTGACTGTGATACTGTACCTTGTGTGAGCAAGCCGTTTTCTAAGTTCTTTTCATTGTTTCCACTCCTGGTCACAGCTCAGTCACCGTAATGGGTTTCAAGACTGAACAGTTCGTTGAAAAAGTCGATGAAAACCTCAAATGTTCGATATGGTAAGCAGCTTTGAGTGTTCGTTTACACCAATCTAGTCAAATTGTCGTACAGTAACCCCATGGAGCTTCGAATGTCACACTCTATGCACACGCAATATTATAGTGAAGTCATCTAGTCCAAACTAAGATGAAAAAGATCGCTCTTCTTCTTACGGAAGGCCTTTATAATATATTTTGAGATCAAACACTGTGTATAGACCAGTCTTATGTTAAAATGGTCCAACCGTTTTTCCGTAGCAAAAATATCTCATGTTTGGAGTATAATCGATCTTAGCGTCCGCCTTTGCGTAGATTGGTTTCCTATCTATAAGCTTATCTTTAATTAGGTCAGTCGTCAACACCAGCAATTTTTATTACATAAGGAGCTACTCAGCGATTACTGCGTCGATGTTCTCGACTATACAGTCAACAAGTTCAAAACCAAACCTTTATCAAAAGAAATGTTTTATCGCTTCCCTGAAACATCATCTGGCCTGATCTATCCAAGCCCGGAGCACGACCGACATACAGACTGAATTCAAATGTTATAGCTGACTAAGAAGCTTTATTTGAAGACTTTTTTTCATTACTAAAAAAAATCAAGACTGAGTATCTTGTAGTACTCAGTGTTCATGCATGTCGTTTACTTTCTAGCTTGGAAGTACTAGAGGACCCCAGGCAATGCAAAGATGGGCATACCTTCTGTAAAGATTGTATTACACGATGTCTGGAGCACAAACAGATATGCCCCGTGGGTAACAATGCACTACAACTCGATAGTCTTGCACGAAGTTTGCTTGCTAAAAATATGGTAAACAATCTTAAAGTATACTGTCAGCCACCAGAGAGTGATGGACAACCAGCAGCTAAAATAGGTGAGTGAGAATTACATTGCGTGGCAGTTTAAGTTGCTGTATTTATATTTCTTGTCACAAATAAACACTCTAGATAGACTTGACTTGACTCGACCTCTCTTGTCTCCCGCGAGAGTATCTTATTCGAGCAAAACGAGAATTTGTCGAGTGCTAGTAGAGATACACAGACTAGGGCGGCAGACTTTGCGAAAGTCTAATGCAAAGTCTTAGTATCAAGAAGAACGAACCCAAATATTTCTGAATGGGTTGGAAAGAGCATGTTCTCACTATCGCACATCGTAGAGAATTTGAATAGACCGGAAATTCTTCTTTAGAGCTTTAATATGACGACTTATGCTGTTTTGGTCTAGAAATGTTTTTTACTTTTTCATGTCATGTATTGCACTTCCTGACCTTGTGTCATGTCTACAGACGCACAGGCATATGAGCTCAAGTGTGACTGGACCGGAGAGCTACAATCACTTGCCAAACACAGAGAAACCTGTCCTTTCCAACAAGTACAGTGTCCTAATGCGAACTGCAACACTAACATGCAGAGAAGAAAGTTAGAGGATCATGACACGATATGCGAATATAAAGAGTTGGAATGTGATGAGCAATGCGGCGTGACTCTGATCAGACGTGACCTGCCGAATCACAAGACAAATGATTGTCCTGAAGTAAGACTGTCATGYCCTAACGGTTGTCGAGGTTGTATTAAGAGGAAGAACATCACTACACATAGAGAAACTTGTCCTTTCCAACAAGTGCATTGTCCTATTGTAAACTGCAATACAACGATGCAAAGAAGAGAACTGGAGGAACATGATAAGATATGCGAATATAAAGAATTGGAATGTGATGAGCATTGTGGTGTGACTCTGATCAGACGTGACCTGCCGAATCACAAGAGAAATGACTGTCCTGAAGTAAAACTGTCATGTCCTAACGCTTGTGGGACAACCATTAAGAGGAAGAACATCACTACACATCGAGAAACTTGTCCTTTCCAACAAGTACATTGTCCTAATGTGAACTGCAACACCAACATGCAAAGAAGAGAATTGGCGGATCATGATAAGATATGCAAATATAAAGAGTTGGAATGTGATGAGCAATGTGGTGCGACTCTGATCAGACGTGACCTGCCGAATCACAAGAGATGTGATTGTCCTGAAGTAAGACTTTCATGCCCTAACAGTTGTGGGGAACGCATTAAGAGGAAGAATATCAATACACATCGAGAAACCTGTCCTTTCCAACAAGTACAGTGTCCTAATGTAAACTGCCACACCACCATGCAGAGAAGAGAAYTACAGGATCATGATTGGATATGCGAGTATAAAGTCGTGAATTGTGAGAAATGTACGCAAGTTCTGGTCCGACATGAGTTACAGCGTCACAAAAAAATTGACTGTCCTGAAGAGATGGTTCCATGTCCTAACAGCTGTAGAAGTCTAGAAACTGGACAAATAAACGAGATAAAAAGGTATGGAATGCTCATCGCGGTTTTTTTGATACCCCGAGGTATTTCTTACTTTACCGCTTCATAAATAGAATTAAAGTAGCTCTAGAAAGCAAACATAACTTTCCCATGCTGTACCCCAAATGGGCATCAGCACTAATTATTGTGATTAAGGCTAGTTTGACTAAGCTTAACATTTTTATTTATGAATAGTGTTACCCACGAGTGGTAATTATATGTAGCATAGATATTTTGAGAGTTCATAGGAGGAGAACCAATGAAACTCGCTATAGGGCGTAATTGAACCCCAGGTTTATGGATTTTTGGTTTTCCATACAATCGAGGACTATTCCCGTCTGTGTACAGATTCTTCTGAAATTCCATCTTGAATACCAGAGCATCTTCCGTTAGCTTTCTTGTTGTATTTTTAAATAATTCATGTACAAATAAAATAAAACAAAAAATAAATTAACTTTGTTTATAGAGGATAACACTTGACAGTAATTCAACTGATAAACTTGTGGTCCTCTGTTAATGTCTCTAGTTAATTAGGGACGGGAACCGCCATTAACGCGATCATCCGAGTCACGTGAAGGTCTAACCATTTGCAGATGTAATTACAAAGGCAGCACCTTCTCCTCAATTATTTTAAGACCCTGAGTGTTGGTCCGGCCGAGGCTTAAACAACGACTTCTTTAAAATCTTAAGTGAACTAGCCTTGATCATTTATCTCCTACATACAAGCACATACTTGATATTGGGATCATCTTTGGAAGAAATGTCACGAGAGAAAAGAAAAACATCCGTCAATGAAATATAAATGAAGTGTGTGACTGAATAACAGAGCAGAGTAACAGAGAAAAATCGTATTATTTGTTCTCAGGATTAACTTAGACAACCATATGAGAAATGACTGTGCCAAGACAATACTGGATTGTCCATTCAAGGATCAGGGGTGGTTCAGACAAAGTTGAACGACAGCATGTCTATAAACACGTACAAGACAACATGGCTGCACATATGATGTTACTGGCCAAACAATGTTCATCGCTCACTAAACAGAATTCATCACTTACCGAACAAAACACGATAGTTACCGAAGAATGTTCGGCATTCACGAAGAAGTGTTCGACACTCACCGAAGAATGTTCGGCACTCAAGAAGAGGTGTTCGACACTTACCGAACAGTGTTCGGCACTCACGAATAAATGTTTGTCACTTACCGAACAATGTTCGACACTAAAACAAAACTATTCGTCTCTTACTGAAGAAAATCGACTTCTTAAGGATGAATTTAAGGTAAGATAGTACATTCATACATACCTACAAAGTTTATTTTAACACGGTAAATTCATCAGTACAAATATACATTGCAATGAATAAAAAACTGTTTTCCATGATTGTCGTGTGAGCCTGCATAATTAGAATATTCCTTAAGTTTACGCCTAAACAAAGGAAGAGAATCAGCACTTCTAACGTCAGACGGAAGGCTGTTCCATAAAACTGCTCCACAGTAACTGAAACTACGTTTCAAGTAGTTTGTGCGCGGTTTCGGTAGAGACAGCTTCTTTTCCATGCAGAAGACAAACATATTTTGAAGATAAGAGTAGTACAGAATGTGCATAATTAAGACTGACGGAGTTATTCTTATATAGAATATACTATACTCCTAAAGACAAACCAATTTAAGGTAGGAAAGAAGTAGATAATTAACTGAACTTAGTACTTCAGGGAAGTACGTTTTTTATTGGCAGGGCTGGGGGATTCGCAGTAAGATTTTCATAAATGGTATTGTTGTAGCCCTCTCCCTTTTATTCAGCAAGAAATTCGTAACCGTTCTATTGAGTCAACAAGGAAACAGCTTTCGTCAAAACAAAAAGGTTTGAGCCTCCACAAAAGTTCAAATTTTTATTGATTCTTTTCTCTGAAGCCCCTTTTCCAACCCCCTCCCCCTCCCCCCTCAACAAAAAACGTAGAGCCTTTCCTTTGTACATGCTAAGCCCATAAGATATAAGATAACTTTAGTTAACCCACGGTGGTTCCTTCAGGATAACAAATTAAATGTAAATATATTTACACGGGAATATTACATACTAAAGTTAATATATGCCTAATATTAAATACGAATACTAGCATTAGACAATAAAAATTTGAAAAAATCATGAATAGAAAAGAAAGGAAGAAAGTTCAAATAAAAACCTGCTCTACCAGGACGCCGTGCAATAGTAATATTAAATATTCTTTAAAAAACTCATTAATAATTCATGAAGGAAACACAATAGAAATCATGACCATGAAGGAGGTTTTATATCTGATATAGATTCGTCTTCATTTGCATAAACTTTAACTTGGATTTTCTCTATCAAACTTGGTTCATTTCGTAAAGAATTCGGTACAGTATGAGAACATACATCAGGAGTATTTTAAGCCGTTTAATAAACTCGCAGATCGTGTTTTATCGGGTCTAAAACCACTCGGCTACGCCTCGTGTTTTACACCCGATAAAACACTCCTGCTCGTTTATCAAACAGTACAAAATGAGTGATAACGTATTTGAGATTTAAAGCTTGTCAGTGACGATGCTTGTCTAATATGTAATGACAAATTATTCCACAGTACAGCTCCGCTATAACTAAAATCTCTTTTAAAGTATTCTGTATGGGGCTGCGGTACTGCTAATTTATTTTCAGAATTTCTCAAGCTATCACTAGTAATATCAATAAATTTGGAGGTGAGATAATCTGGTGTCAGACTATTCAAAGTCTTATGCATGAAAATACATTTGTCAATCTTGCGCTGATGGTCTAAATTTCTCCAAAAAAATTTAATGACTGAAATATTTCATCTGTATCTACATCATAGCTTGAGAATTATTCTTGCGGCACGGTTTTGGAGTTTCTATAGTTTTTAAGAAAGACTTTTGCTGCAGTTTCCCCATGCTATGCTGCAATAATTAAAATGGGGTTGTACCAAGGCATTGTACACGGTTAGGAGTATTTCACGTGGAACGAAGCACCTTATGCGTTTCATTGCGCTTATTCCAGAGGTAATATTTTTAGATATCATAGATATATGGTTATCCCAAGAAAGATTTTGATCTATCTGAATACCAAGTGACTTAGAGGAGATAACCTGTTTAACTTTCTCCCCTTCTATAAGAATTTGTGGATTGACCTTGATGCTAGATAGCCTTTGATTCGAGCCAATTAATAAAAACTCCGCCTTAGTCATATTAAGGATGGTGGGTACAGTTGTCAGCGCGCACTTTTACTGCGCACATTACGTAATCCACAGGAACTCCAATGTTTTAAAAAATATCAACAACAACAAAACGAAATAAATGCGTGATCATTCTTGTCATCATTTTTTTTTTTAATAGCAATTTCTTCGTATGTGTCTATATGGGATAGTTAAATAGTACTGTAAAAATAAAAGTCAAAGTTGTGAAAAGGAGAAAACGACGACTAGATGGTAGATTTGTCGGAAATAGAGTACYGGTGAASYGACAAAAACTAGACGAAAAAGATCAAGAGAGAAAAACTTGAAAACAAACACAAAATATTATTGAAGGAAAGCGAATTATTGAGTTAGATTACCTGATGGAGCAGTTAAAAAGTGGGTGTAGTGAATGTAAAGAGGCACTTCAACTTCATGAATTGATCGACGAAAAAAAGTTTGGACTCTTGGTAGTTTGTTTTATATTCAATGCGAATTCGGAGTTTTAAACTGAAATTCCACCTACTATAAACCACTAAGTTTCTTCTATGAAACTCTTGGGGCTTTATTCAATTCTCAGTTATCCCTACAAGGTTTTCTTATTGCATTCTCTAGGACATTTAGTGACCGTATTCTTGATCCTCTTGCAGTAGTCCGCCATGTTTACCATCCCATAATGCAATGCTAAACCACGTCTCTCAGGGGAGGGGTGGAGGAAATTTGTAACCATCGCTGGAAAAAAGCTTGAAATCTGATATTCAAAAAATTATAACTACAAAAAACGCATGGCGACCCCAGTTTTTTATTTTCTTGGTATGTTTTGTAAACACTTAAGATAATTTTGAATGTGCTATTTCAAAAGTAAAAATAGTTTTGGGTGGTTTCTTTTTTGATTTTGTGTTTTTGTCCAAAATTGAAATTTCACCTACTTTTGCACAAAAGCAGATATAAAATGTACTTTCATCTTTGCAACTTCAAATCTTTTTTATTAATATGAAAAATATTTTTGTTTAAGATTATTTTAGGCAAAATTTCGATGTACTTAAGCCAAACACAAGGGATATGTGATTTTTTGAAGTGCTTCAAAATGAGCTCACGTCATCGGGTCTTTAATGACAATTATCTCGCTTGGATGCGTGGGGACCCCCAAATTTTTTCACGTTTTTAGATAGCCCCTTGGGTACTCTAAATAACTGACACAGTTTCATTCAAATAAAAATGCGTGGCGAACTGTACCCACCATCCTTAAGAGTTAATTTGTTAGCAGAGAGCCAATTATGAATATTACATAGATCTGAACTTACGCATTCATTAATTTGACTAATATCATTGCTAGCAAATGTCATTGATGTATAATAAGAACAAAAGGGGTCCTAAAGTTGTTCCTTGAGGTACTCCGCATCTGACCAATGCCTTAGACGATGTGTAATTATTCAATGTACATGTTTGTGTTCTGTTATCAAGATATGAATTAAACCAAATCAATGTGAGGCCAGTAATTCCATAGTACTCTAATTTTGATAGTAGTATATTATCCATTTATCAAACTTAATTTCTATTGTAGATCCGCCCTGTTCTTCTTTTTCTTTTTTTTTTTTTTTTT